ACTCCTACTTAAATTACATGGTTATCACAACAGGTGATTATATTCTCCACACCCACTTTGTATAATTTATTTGTTTCTTGTTTTTTTTTTTTTTGTTGTTGTTGTTTTGTTTTTTTGGTACCGGGGATTGAACTTGGGTCTTTGTGCTTGTGCGGCAGGCAGCAGAACCACTGAGCTAAATCCCTGGCACTTTGTATAATTTATGGTTACCAGCTATCCAACAAAGCCATGAAACCTTCAGAATTGCTTCACCACATGGAATCCCAGCACCCCACAACTAAAGACAAGACTTTGGAGTTTTTCAAAAGAGAAAAAAAAACACATGAACATGAAGAACAGAGACAATCACTGAAGGCCACCACTTCATCAAATGTGTTTTTGCACTGAGGGCATCATTCTTAGTGGCTAACTGCATCGCTAAAGCTAAGAAGCCCTTTCCTATTGGTGAAGAGTTGATCCAGCCTGCTGCTAAGGACATTTGTCATGAACTTCTAGGTGCAGCCACAGTTCCTAAGGCAGCATGTCTTTCCCATTTGGCTAGCACCCTTAATAGACTCATTGATGAAATAGAGGATATTGAGTTGCAGTATTTAGAGATTAATGAGTGACTGTGGTATGAAATTGAGGTTGATGAGTTCACTGGTACTGATAAGGCAACAATGCTTATTTTTTTGTGATACATAAATATAATAAATAAATATTATATATATTTATAATACAATATATTATAATATACAAAATATATAAATATATAAGTATATAAATGTAAAATATAAAAATATATATTTAAATATATATATATTTTTGGTACTGGTGATCAAACTCGGGACCTTGCACTTGTGAGGCAGGTGGTGGCACCAATAAGCTAAATCCCCAGCCCCTGTGTGATATATTCTTTAGGAGGATGTACATGCAAACCTGTTAATGTGCACTTTTGTTGCCCACCAACACCACAGCTGCAGAACTGTTCAAGTCTTTGAATGATTACATATCGGGAAAATTGTGCTAGTTATTTTGTGTTGGTATGTACGTGGATGGAGAGGCTGCCATGACTGGACGGCTTTCTGGTTTCATTGTTCAAGTCAAAGAGGTCATTTCTGAATACAAGTCTGTGTGCTGCGTCATCCATGCAGAAATGCTGGCTAGATGAAAAATGTCACTGGAACTTAATGTTTTACAGGATGTGATTAAAATTATCAACCAAATTAAAGTACATGCCCCTAATTTACATCTCTTCTTATAGTTTTGTGAGGATGGATGTAGACCACACACATCATCTGTTATGCACAGAAATGACATCTCACCTTTCTAAAGGTAAATCACTGGCCTGTGTTTCTGAGCTATGAGAGCTGGTCCAGAAATTTCTTTTAGAAAAGCAGTCATCATTGGCAGCACATTTACAACAGAATGGGTTGTAAAACTTGCTTACTTGTGTGACAGTTTTAACCTGCTCAACAAACTCAATCTGTCACTTCAGGGGAGAATGACAACTGTGTTTAAGTCAGCAGATAAAATGGCTGCATTCAAAGCCAAACTGGGGGCCGGGGATGTAGCTCAGTGGTTTCACCACCTGCTGTGCAAGCGCAAGGACCCAAGTTCAATCCCTGGTACCAAAAAAACCCCAAACAAAAAACCAAAAACAAAGCCAAACTGGAATCAGGGGTGATGTGTGAACACTGGGATTTTTGACATGTTTCAAATGTTAGCACAGATTTTGAGAGACTGAGCCAGGCCCTTCTTTTTCCCAGCAGAGGCATGATCACCTATCTTGGCTTTCAAAAGTTTTCACATTACTTCCTAACCACAAAAGACCTCTGAAGTGGGAAGAAATGGGCCTATGATCCTTTTTGTGAATAAGCCAGGTAAATTAACTTTGCCTGTGCTAGAAGACAATGAATTGCCTGAGAATGCAAATGACAAATGGTTTTAAACTATGTTTGAGACAACTTCACGAATTCTGGTAGGATATCCTGAGAGTGCCAAAAAAGCACTGAAAGCTTTAATTTCCAACATCCTATCTTTGTGAAGCAGGGTTTTCTGTTGGACAGCAACCAAAACTAGACTGCAGAGTAGACTGGACCTAAGGAATGGACTTCAGATGTCACTGTCTCCCATCACCCCCAGATGGTACCATCTAGTTGCAGGAAAACAAGCTCAGGGCTCCCACTGATTCTGCATTATGGTGAGTTGTATAATTATTTTATTGTACAATGTAAAAATAAAGTTCATAATCAGTGTAATGCATGTGAATCATCCCCAAACCACCCCCCCACTCCCCAGGCCCAGTCCACAAAAAATTTTTCATGTACAAAATTGGTCTCTGGTGCCAAAAAAGATTGGGGACTTTGCTGTACAGTACCCACTCTGGTCTTCAGTGTTGAAATATTTGGGGTGAATTATAACTTTGGTACATAAAAGAATGGGGAAATGGACATTTCTAAAGACATATACAACTCCACAAGCTGTTTACTTCTTTATAATCAAATTCTCAGCTCTCTGTCACATGCAATGTTAGGTGCATATTAACTGTTTAACACATCAGTGTTGGCTTGAACCACCAGTGGTATGTGCATGACTGGTCCATTGGGCAGCATAAACCACCCAGTGGGACTGTCCCATGCTGCCCAATAGGACAGTCATGCATGTACACCAGTGGTTCAGGGCTACCTGGCAGCGAGATGCACAAATTACGGCCCTGTTTCAAATGTGTTAATGGAGTTGAACACAAAAGGTACTCAATAAACAACTGATACTCTTAATTGTAATCTGTGAGGATAAAAAAGGAAAAGAAGAAATGCAAGATGAGTCTGGTAGAAAGTCATCTTGTCTATTTAGCTGATTAATTTTTGTTACATCAAATTAAAAATACTAAACAACTTTTTAAAAAGTTATTATTTGATTTCAAAGGTAATACAAAGACATAGTGGACCTGGGATTTAGCTCAGTGGTTCTGCCACCTACCTCCCAAGCGCAAGGACCTGAGTTCGATCCCCGGTACCAAAAAAAAAAAA